GACCTTCCCCTCCCTGTGCCAGCTGGGCAAGTACACCACGGTGAGTGGGGCTGGGGGTTCTGGGGGGTCCCTGGGTGGGCACTAGGGGGGTACCCCAAGCCTTGGATCCATAGAGGGGTCGCTGAGTGACCTGAACCCCCAAAACAAAAGATCTGAGCTCGGGGGGGGGCAGCTGGGGAGCAAGTTCAGGGGGAGGGCGGTGCTGGGGAGGGATCCCAGGAGTTCCTAGGCAGTCGTGAGGGGGGGGGGATTGGAGGTCCCTGAGGGGGGCAACCTAATACTCAGACCCTTAGAGGGGTTCCTGGACCCCCTGACCCCCCAAAACACCAGATCTGAGCACTGGGGGCAGTCAAAGGCAGAGAGGTGCTGGGGAGGGGTCCCCAAGAGGCTCTGGGGGGTCCCAGTGATCCCGGGGGGTCCTAGAGGTCTGAGGAGGATCCAGTCCACCCTGAACCACCCTGACTGGGTCTGTGCCTCCCAGAACTTGAGCGCAGACCACTGTGTGCAGCTGGGCAAGGGGCTGGGGGACAAGTTCAGGGAGCCGAGGTTGGGTTTGAGTGGTTCCAGAGGGTCTCAGCAGGTCCCAAAACACCCTAAACCCCCGTAACTGAGTCCCTGGCCCCCTATGTCCCCCAGAACTCGAGTGCAGACCACCGTGTGCAGCTGGACCTGGGGCTGTGGGACAAGTTCAGTGAACTGGCCACCAAGTGCATCATCAAGATCGTGGAGTTCGCAAAGCGGCTCCCGGGGTTCACAGGGCTCAGCATGGCCGACCAGATCACCCTGCTCAAGGCTGCCTGCCTCGACATCCTGGTGGGCATCAGGGGATGTGGGGTCCTGGAGGGTGTTTGGGGGGGTCTTGGAGGGTGTTTGGAGGTTCCTCAGGGGGTTTGGGAGGACCTCAAGGGGGCTTGGGGGGTCCCATGGTGGCTCTGACCTCACCACCCACAGATGGATGTCCTGGAGAGGGGCTGGGTGGGTTTGGGGGTCCCCTATGGAAATTTTGGGGTCTCTTGAGGGGTTTTGATGTCCCTGGGTGGATATTTGGGGTCCCTGAGTGGGGGGATTTCAGTGACCCCTGTGTGATTTTGGGGTTCCCTGACCCCCATGACCCCCATATGCTGCAGATCTGCCCGTTACAGCCTGAGCAGGACATGAGGACATTCTGGGATGGGCTGACCCTGGGCAGGGGGGGTGTGTGTTTGGGATCCCTGGGTGATTTTGGGGTACCCTGACCCCCAGATGCTGCGGATCTGTACCCGGTACACCCCCGAGCAGGACACGATGACGTTCTCAGACGGGCTTACCCTGACCAGGACCCAGATGCACAACGCAGGGTTTGGGCCCCTCACTGACCTCGTGTTTGCCTTTGCGGGGCAGCTCCTGCCCCTGCAGCTCGATGACACTGAGACAGGGCTGCTTAGTGCCATCTGCCTCATCTGTGGAGGTAGGGGGACATCAGGGACATTGGGGGGAAAAGGGGGGCACAGGGGGCACGGGGGGTATCGGGATATGGGTGTCACAGCGGGGCAGCTCCTACCTCTGCAGCTCGACACCAAGACTGCGCTGCTCAGTGCCATCTGCCTCATCTGTGGAGGTGGAGGGACATGAGGGACACCAGGGGCACATGGGATATCAGGAATATAGGGGTCACAGCAGGGCAGCTCCTGCCCCAGCAGCTCAGTGACACTGAGCTGGGGCTGCTCATGGCCATCAGCCTCACCTGTGGAGGTGAGGACACGAGGGGGGACATTGGGGAGACACCAGGAGGCTTGGGGAGTATCAGGGGTTTGGGGATAGGAGGGGTGTAAGGGGGTATAAGGGACATGGGACTGAGGGGGCTGCTCAGGGCCATTGGCCTAATGTGAGGAGGTGGGGGAACACTGGGAACATGGGGACATTGTAGGGACATCAGGGACATGGGTATTGGGGCACATAGGGGGCTCGGGGACCAGGCTGTGGGGACATGTTCCCTAGGACGAGAGACAATGGTGGGCATGTGGGGACATGGTGACACTGGGATCTGCAGGGCAGGAGAGGGCAGGGATGGGGGGACAGGGAGGACATGGGAGTATGGGGACACAGGGACACTGTCCTGGTGGTCCCATCCCGGGGGTCTCTGTCCCCCCCAGACCGGATGGAGCTGGAGCAGCCCCGGCGCGTGGAGCGGCTGCAGGAGCCGCTGCTTGAGGCTCTCCGGGTCTACGCGCGGCGGCGGCGGCCTCGGCAACCGCAGCGATTCCCCCGAATGCTGCTCAAAATCACCGACCTGCGCGGCATCAGCACCAAGGGTGAGACCCCCGGGACCCCCCCAAATGGATACACGCTCCCCGAAATGGGTACAGCCCCTCCCGACAGCCCAAAACCCCTGGGACCCCCCGAAAACCCACCCCAACCCTAGTACTTCTGCAAATGCTCAAAAATCACTGTATCTGTCTGGCATCAGCACCAAAGGTGAGACCCTCGGGACTCCCCCAGACAAGAATAGCCCCCAAAGGCCCCTCGGGACCCCTCTGACCCCAAAATCCCCCAAACACCCCCCTCTCAACACCCCAGAATCCTTCTCTGGGACCCCCCCCAGCCTCATTTGGGGGGGTGTCTAAGGTCTTGGTGGGGTGGTTGTCCAAGGTTTCGGGGGGTTCAAGGTTTTGCGGGAAGGGGAGTTGAAACTCTCGGGGGGGGTTCAAAGTTTTTGGTGAGGTTGAAGGTCTTGGGGGGGGGGGGTTGAAGCTCATTTGAAGGGGATTCAAGGTCTTTGGGGGTGCTTAAGCTCTAGGAGGGGGTTGAAATTTGGGGGGTTCAAGTGCTTGAAGGGGCTTAAATTTAGGGGGGTTGAAGGTAGTTTGGGGAGGGTCCAAGATCTTTTTGGAGGGAGTTGGAACTCTTGGGGGGGGTTCAGAGTTTTGGGGGGGTTCAAGCTCTTGGTGGGCTTTTGAGCTCATTTTGGGGGCTCCAAGGTCCTGGGATGGAGGGGGTCTAAGCTCTCACGGGGGAAATTCCAAGCCCTTGGGGCAGATGTTAATTATTGGAGGGGGGGGGGTCACTCACACTTTGCTCCTCACCAGGGGCAGAACGGGCTCTGACCCTGCGCACGGAGATCCCGGGGCCGATGCCCCCCCCCTGATCCGGGAGATGCTGGAGAACCCCGAGATCTTCACTGAGGGGGGGGGCCAGGTGGAGCCCCCTCCACCCCCAGACCCTCCCACGGCCCAGGACAGCCCCCCCGGCCCCCCCAAATCTCCGTAACCCCCCCCAACTCCCCAGAGCCCCTATGGTGGGGGCACTCATAGCTGCCTTCCAGGGTCCCCCCCCTTTTGCTCTGGGGGGCGGGAGACCCCCAAAGTGGGCCCCCCCCCGAGTTGGGGTGTGGGGGGGTCAGAGACTGACAGAGCAAAGCTATTGCCTTAAGCTGGGGGGAGTCCAGGGACCCCTCCCCCATTCCAAACTCAGCTTCAGCCAAAGCCTCCCCAGCCCCTGCTGCCCCCGCCTTGTATTGAGAGGAATTTTAAGAGGGGCAGCCCCCTCTCCCCCCAAATTAACACTCCTGGGTTGCCCCCCCTAAATACCCCCTGAGGGTTTATTTATTGGACACAGGGTGGATTCTGGGAGGGAATCCCCATTATCCCCCCTGGACATTCCCTCCCCCCCCCCCAGTTTGGGGGGGCCCCCATTTATATGTTGTTGGGGCTGGGGGGACCCCAAAATTCCTCCCTCCATCCTATTCCCTATACACTACAGAGACCAAAGATGGGGGGACACAAGATGACTCCCCCAACTTCCCCCCTATTTTAGGGGGTTCTCAAGCCATAGGGTGACCCCAGTACCCCTCCAGGGCACCTTTGGGAGGGGGACACACCCCCAAATATGTTACCCCCCCCCAAGTCTGGCTGGGTGAGGGGGGCCGGGCTTGCTGCTGCCCCCCCTAAATTTGCCCCCCCCCCCCCACTTGGGTGGGGTCTGTTACACTACGGGGGGGGTGGTGATCCTTCCCCCCAGGGCAGCACTTTCACCCCTCCATTTATTTATTCCTCTGCGTTTACATTGGGCCCCTGCCATTTCTAGGGGGGCCCCCCCTGCCACTGCCCCACCCCCTGCTAGCCATCCCCTGCTTTTGGGGGGCCCCCCAGCCATGTTTACAGCCCTCCCCCACTCCCTCTGTGCTGAGGGGAGGTCTCGGGACTTTTCTATTTTTGCAAAATAAAGTGATGGAAATTTTTTATGGAGGGGTTGTGAATCTGGGGGAGAAAAAGGGGGTCTAGGAGGAGGAGGGGAGGCTTGGGACCCCCCTTGAGGTGATGGGGGGCACCAATGGGGTGGGAGTGGGGGCACTCCTGGGTTATTTGGGGGGGTACTTAGGAGCCCCCCACATTGCGACCCCCTTTGGGGATAAGGGGGGGGGCATTGGGAACCCCCCAAACTTGGGGACTCCTCCAGAGATAAACGGGGGGGTCACTTGGGGACCCCTCTCCAGGGATAAGAGGGGGCACCCCTGGGGTATTTGAGGGGGCGTTTGGGGACACCCCCCCCTCCAGTTTAATGATTTCCCCCCCATTTTTGGGGTCTGGGGGGGGAGGCACAAATAGGTTCTGGAGGTTTCCCCAAATACCACTCCCTCGCCCCCGAAGAAACCAAATTTAGGTTAAAAAAAGCAAAACCCCAAAGTTTTATTTAAATAAACCCTAAAGGAAGGGGGGGGGCACATGGGGGGTGGGGGAGGAAAGGACGACATTTTGGGGACATGGGTGGGGGACACAAAATTTGGGGACCCTTAGAAAAAACTACCGTTTAAAAGTGCCCCCCCCCCCCCCCGGGGGTGACCCCTGCCCCCCCCCCTCCCCATAGCAAAATAACTGTAATAAACCCCAAAAACCCAACAAAACATCCCAAAAATGAATCTGGGGAGGGCAGAGAGGTGGGGGGTGTGTGTGACCACCCCCCGGGTTTGAGGGGGCCCCAAACCCCCCCCCAGAATCCCCCCAACCCACCCCCTGGAGCCTTTAAACCACCCTCCTTGACCCCCAAATTTAGGGGGGGGGGGGCTCAGCAGAGCCAAAGCCTTTTTTGAAGCGTCATTGGGGGGGGTGTCCCCAAAGTCCTGCAGGTCCAGAAAGGGGGGTCAGGGCACCAAAAAAAAAGGGGGGGCCAAAATTCATCAGCTTTGTCCCCCCTTGGAGCAGTCTGTGATTGGGGGAGGCATGAGACCCCCAAAATGTGGGGGGGAGCACTGGGGGGGACCCCCAGAGTTTTTTGGGACATCCTGGATCTTCCAGCCACTCCCCCTCAGCAGATCCATGGTTTTCCCACCCCAGGGAATGGAGGTTTCCAGGATTTTCCTCCCCCTGGGAATGGGGTTTTCTGGGAAATGGGGGTCCCTTCACCCCCCCTCCAGGTGCAGCCCCCCCCACAGGTGCAGGGGGAGACACAGGGAGCCCCTCCCAAAACCACGTGGAAACAGGAGAAACGTCCCTGGAATCCACAGGAATTCCAGAGGGAATGGGAAGTGCTGCCGAGTCCCAAAACAGGGACACCCCCAAGTTCCTCATTCTCTTTCTGTTTTCCATAAAAAGGGGGAATTTGCCACCCTCCTGAAGCCGGGACACCCCCCAAAATCCTTAGTTTTCCTCCTTTTTCCCCCCAAAAAAGCAGGTTTGGAGATGTCATTCCCAGCGGGACCCTCCTACCTATGTCCTAGGTACCTCAAACCTGCTGGGATTTGGAGCAGTTTGGGGGCTCCCAGTCTGTCCTGTGGGGGAATGTGGGGTGGATTTAGGGATCCAACGATGAGGAGGGCACAGCTTGAAGATTCCAGGACGATTTTTGGGCTCATTATCCCAGTTTTTAGGCCAGAAGGGTGGGAAAGATCCGAGTTTTTCACACTGGGAACGCTCCAGGTTTTTTTAGGAGTTCTCAGCTCAGGGTGAAAAATCCGGGTGAAGCAGAGGATGCAGAGGGTGGGGGGTGCAGGAGGGAGGCTCCCCCTTCCTCCAGCACCCCCAGAATTCCCAGAATTTCACAGCAGGAGCTGGGAGTCAGGGGGGGGTCTTGCCCTGGCAGCCCTGGCACATCCGCTTGTGCCGCAGGAGCCGGTCCGTGCGGGAGAAACTCTGCGGGATGGAGGGGATTAGGGTTGGAATTCGGGGTGGGGGTGCTTCTGGGGGTTTCCAAGGGAATTCCAGGTGGGATTTCCCATGGAATTACCTGCATGCAGCGCTCGCACTGGTAGGGCTTCTCCCCACTGTGCACCCGCTTGTGCCGCTCGAGGTGGTACTTCTGGATGAAGCGCATGTCGCACACGTCGCACTCAAAGGGCTTCTCCCCTAAAGTGAGGGGGAGTTGGGGGGTAATTAACACCCCTGGGGGTAATTAGGGGGTGTGGGAATGGAGGAGGAGGGGGGAGTTGTGGGATTAAGGGGTGGTTGGGATCAGGGAGGGAGGGAGCACAGGTCACACTCAAAGGGCTTCTCCCCTAAACTGGGAGGGGTCCAGGGGGTTAATTAACACCTAAGTGGGGGGGAAGAGGAGAGAGCTAATTAAGGCTGTGAGGGGTTAATTAGGGTGTGTTAATTGGTGCCCCCACCAGTGTGGATGAGGATGTGCCGTTTGAGGTGGTAACTGCTCCGAAAGGCCCCGAAACAGTGGTCGCAGATGAAGTTCTTGAGCTGGAAGGACCCGTTTTGCTCGATCACCACCATCTACAAACCATGGGGGGATAGAGATTGGGGAGGCTCAGAGCCGGGGGGGCCCCCAGCAGCCCCACCCAAATCCCCCCCCCGGCCGTCCTGCGCCTGCCGGAGTTTGGGAGATTCTCTTCCTCCTCCTCCTCCTCCTGGGGGGCGGCGGCAAACCTGGGACTGGGAGCGGCGGGACGAGCTCGGGGGTCCCTCGGCGCTGGGAACCCGCTTGCGGCGCTGCCGGGGGGCC